ATTTTGTGTTGTGTGGATGTTGTATGCAGTGTCTGCAGGGTGAGGTTGCTGACTTGTGAAATGAACGCACCAGAGCACACGCGTGATTTGGGTCCAACTCAAAGCCAGAACGGCCAGGGCTACGCCTGGCCACACGGAGCGGTCGAGCCTTGGGGTCGGGCCAGGCGTGTCCACTGGGGGGCCAGAGACAGGGTCTCTGGAGTGGAGAAGGGGAGGAGGCCAAGGGTCTCGCAGGAAGGAGGGCTGGTGAGCGAGGCAGCACCGTGGGGAGCGAGTCAGTGCAGCAAAGGCCAGGAGCGTCGGGAGAGACCCGAGTGGGGGCGGGAGCCAGGGCAGACGAAGGAATGGAACGGCCCGCCCTGCAGGCCCGCTGAAGCGTGTGCCGCGGCACGGTGGAGCGGGCAGAGGGCCGAGGACCCCAGGCGGACGGCTGGGGAGGGGGGCATGTGCATGTGCATGTGCATGGAATGCCTAAGGGCTATGCCAAATCGGTAATGTTAAATGTGAACTCACATACACACACACACGAACCATTTTGAACCCTATGTATCTCCGTATGTGAGAAGTATGTGTATGTGTGTATATATGTACACACGGAAAAGGGGTAAAACAAATACAGTAAAATGTTCACCTAATTAAGAAATTAGAAATTCTTTGCACTATTCTCATAACATTTATGCAGGTAAAATTAATTGAAAATAAAACAAACTCTTAAAAAGTATGGTTAATAATCAGAAAATTCCAAAGGTGAGCAAAAAAAAAAACAAAAAAAAAACAAATACTATATTTCTAGCCAATAGGTGGCGCCAAAAAGTCCTCCTTTCAACAATGTTAGAAAGCAAACTTTCTGAAGGGCAACGTTCCAGCCTGGAGCATGGATACACAACCCTTAAGAACTGTACCAATTCGGTAACGGTGAACTAAATGACTACATTGGCACGCGAGGATAAGGTGCTCCGAGTCTCTCAAAAGCCTCCTTTCACTCGGGCAAATAAAAACACCGCCAGCTTCCTGCTCAGAGGTCAGCCGCTCTCCTGCGGGCCGTGGGCTCGGAACGAGGTAACCCCCTCGCCCTTCTGCGGGTGGCGGCAGGCCGGCGGCCACGCACACCCAGCTCACCAGCGCAGAACCGACTGTCGAAAGGGACCTAGTCAGCAGAGACGGTTTCTTCCAGTTGCAGGCTCCTTGTGTCAACCACAGGAAACAGGACTTCATCAACACAGAATCACATGAAAACTCTTGAAGTTTCTCTTCGGACACGATGAACCAGAGCCAACGATTTTCACAGGATTTATTGCAAGTCCCGGAACGGAATCTGCCTCGGTAAATCATGTTGGCCCAGTCTGACTTCACATTCCCCGAATTCCCCGCTCACGTCTATCGGAGGTGGCGTTTACAAAGACCGTTTGCTTAAGAAACCTAACCCAGGGCCGTTTTAATAAATACTTTCAGACTTGGACATTCTTATAATATTACTTTTGGATTTCAAAATTCACACAGAGCCGAGCTTTGGAAATTTGAAGTTATTCAACTTAACTCAATCTAACCATAGAGACATGTTAATTCAATGCTTTTGTTTTGTCTTTAAAAGTTAAGTGCAGCACTTGCAATTTTCTCCCAGTTTCTAAACTCAAGGAACACAGTGGTTAATGTACCTTTGCAACTTAAGTCTGCACTGGAGGAAAATCAACCAGCTAACTAGATGAGTCCCTTCACGGATCAAGCAGACAAGCCTGCAGCTCCCAGACAGAGACAGCAAGTGATCATAGGGGTCTGGAGATCAAGAATTTTCTCCCAAAACTAATTTCAAGTTATCCTTTTTGCTTCTTTTTTTTTTAGTACCAATGACCAAAGAACAGCAGGGGAAAACAGTGAAAACCAATACTTTGCTGAGAGAACTCCATTCCCTTGAAATCGGCTGACTGGTTCGCTTCTTTTTAATCAACCAGTCCACGGTCCAAGGAGAAAACGGCAGCAGCCAGCACCCCTCACCATGGGGGTGGGTGGGACATTAGGCACCCCAATTTCCCACCTCAATTTCGTGGACCCTGCTTTCTCCATTATTTTTAAGTAAGTCATTAGAGAGCCTCCCCTTTCAATGACAAAGCACAAGATGGATTCTGCTCCTGAACACCCCCGCCCTCCACCGACCGACCGAGAGCCCCTGGGGACAGGTCCAGAGCTCCCAGGACAGGGACCTGCCAGGACTGCAGGGGAGGAGGAAGAAGGGCTCAGTTATTATTTTTCAAAGCTTCTCCTTGCCCTGGCTGATGTGGCTCAGTGGATTGAGCACAGGCTGCGAACCAAAACGTCGCAGGTTCGATTCCCAGTCAGGGTACATGCCTGCGTTGCAGGCCATGACCCCCAGCAACCACACATTGATGTTTCTCTCTTTCTCCCTCCCTTCCCTCTCTAAAAATAAATAAATAAAGTCTTTAAAAAAAAGAAAAAGAAAAAAGCTTCTCCTTCAGTGCCGGCTCCCTGGAGCCGCCGCACTTGGGAGAGAGGAGGCCTACAGCTGGACTTGCCTGGCTGCAGAAAGCTAGCAGGGGCCAGGCGGCGGCCGGAGGGGCAGGAGGCAGGCGGACCCTGGCTGGGACTCAGGGTTGAGAGGGCAGGAAGGAGGGGGGCTGGGCCAGAAGGACAGTGGAGCAGAGAGGCGCCGTCTCAGAAGCCAAGTGCAGACAGCACACCCTCGGCTGCCCAGGAATCTGAGCCTCGCACAGTCAGCACACGGGATGGGGGCCGGATTCTGCAACAGGCGGGAGGGCCCCGCAGCCCGGTGGTTTCTGTCCCTCTTCCCCGAGACGCTGTGGCCACCTCTCCATCTCCGACAGTGGCCGCCAACGGAAATGGCCCCTTCGGGGCATAAAAGGTTTGAGCCTCACTTGCTGGCGGTCTCCCCCAGGACTCGGGCGAGAACAGGCGGGCAGGCGGGCAGTAACGTTGACTGAGCACATGCAGCACGTCCAGGCACCTGGGGAACCTCCCGCACAAACAGAATGTGCTGCCTTCCTCCCTGGAGTTCAGTGCGGTCATCACCCTTCCGCAGAGACAGAGAAGATGAGGGCATGGGACAGCTTCTGAGGCACACGTAGGAGGACTTCATGCCGCATTCCACTGCCACCGTCGCCCCCTGGTCCTCCCACGACACTGCCCGCAGCGGCGAGTGTGCGTCTCTTGCTCACTCGGTGGGAATGCCGGGCTTCCTGAGAGCTATAACAGCCTAGTTCCCTCCCAGCTCCTGGGAGAGGGAAGGGAAGGCTGGCCTCCCACCTCACCGCAGCGCAGGTGCTGCCGCCTGTGTGAGTGGTGAGTGCTTTCAGCTCTGTCCAGCCTGCCCACCAAGTCTGCCTGCAGCCCCGGCTTCCCTGGGCCTCTCTGGCCCAGCAGGACGGGCACAGGTGTGAAGACAGGTGCTCTGAATCTGAGTTCTGGTTCTGCTCATTGCCTGGCGTGCTGGACTAGACCACAAATTCCTACGAGGCCTGTCCGGAAAAAGTCCAGCCATTGTTAATGTAACAAGAACGGTTTGTGTGACATCGATGTCACCTGGCAGCCAAGGAGAGTGGACCGGAATGCACATGTGTGAACAATGACGACTTCACTGTACTGGTCAGTAGAGGCGGTAGACACTGTTGAGTGAGCGTGTGTACTGTGTGGACGTTGCATTAAAAATGATTGAGTGAGCAGAGCAACAAATTTGCATCAGATTTTGTGTTAAGCTTGAACATTTCTCTGTGGAAAGCTATTTTGATGATTCAAAAGGCCACAGCTACGGGCAGCTGGTGATGGAGAGCTTCATCAGGACAACGCACCCACTCATGCACCACCTCTCATGCAGAGATTTTTGGCAAAACAGCAAATCACGCAAGTGACTCAATCCCCTACAGCCCAGCTTTGGTGCCGTGTGACTTCTGGCTTTTCCCAAAACTAAAATCACCTTTGAAAGGGAAGAGATTTCAGACCATCCGTGAGATTCAGGAAAATACAGTGGGGCCGCTGATGGTGATTGGGAGAACTGCGTGAGGTCCCAAGGTGTCTACTTTGAAGGGGACTGAGCTGTCATTGTCCTGTGTACACTGTTTCCTGCATCTTCTTCACTAAATGCCTCTATTTTTCACAGCACGTGGCTGGACACTTTCTGGACAGGCCTCGTATACGTAAGGTACTTTAGAAATCAGTCGTAAACACCGCACATTCCGTTCAAGCAAGAGCTCGCTTAATTTGAAGTCTGCTTACATTAAAGAAAGCACATGACTGCACGGTTTTCCTGGGGGGGAGGGAGGGGTGTGAAAGGAGGAGAGAAAGTGAACACTATACACAAGTTTTCATCTGCTGGCCAGACTCACAGACATCCCTGCACACGCTGCATCGTCTGCATATGCTACACGCTGTGTCCACTCCACCGTAGGTCACCAGCAGGAGACCGTGCAGGGTCCGCAGCCCGAGATGCTGTGCCCCTTTCCGGTTCCCTCCGAGCCAGCGTGCACACACTCCAGCCACACGACACTGCAGCCAGCGTCCCTGTCCCAAGCCCGTTTCCACGGGGGGCCCGCACGCCTGTTCTCGGGACAGTGACATGGCTCCCAGTGACGTGGCTCCCAGCGACAGGCAGCAGGGCAAGTCGGCCCTGGACCGTCCAGCCGGGGTCCGGTCCCCACACCTCTTCCACGCCGACAGTCATGACCCCCCGCCCCGCACCATGTCCTTGTCATTCAGTTCTGAGGCATCAGCAACAGCTCAGAGGTCCCGAGACCTGGCACCGTGGAACAAATTCAGATACTCTGCCCAGTCCCAAACCAGAACGGAATGCACTTTTTAGGGAGAGTTGCGGCACAAGCCCCTCTGTCACAGCACAGGAGGACGGACGGACGGACAAGGGTGTTGATGGCGCAATTTTTAAGTGGGTGGGTGCACGGAGATAAAAACGAAGGGCGGATCGTTTCCTTTCCACACAGACAAACAGATGAGAGGAACCCCCTGACCCCCACACTCACCTGCGTTGGAGCCGGTCAGGTTGTAACGGGCGTTCAGCTTTTTGATGATGTTCTCATGGATCTGGTACCACTCGCTCTCCGTGTTACACCTGGGAGAACATCAACACTCCGTCAGGCGTGGGCAGTGCGTGAGACCAAGCAATGACCTTCCCAGTGCGCCTGCTCTTTGTGGCGGAACCGCTGCAACCCACTTCCTTAAACCTCCTTGGCGGTCCCAGCAACCTACGGCACGGCAGGTGACTGCCAGTCAGCAGGGTCGCCCCGAGGCGAGCAGGAGTGGCCACCTGGTGAGGCCTGATGCCCCCAGCCTTGTGCCAGGAGCACCTGGGAAGAACAACTCACAGATTATCATGATCACATCGCTAATGGTGCGGAAGCACACGCGCCGGACGCGTTCGGCCTGGTCACCTGAGAGCGCAGGTGCAGGAGGCAGGCAGTGCCGGCCTCGGTCTGGTTCTCGTCCTTATCGGCTGGGTGTCTCCAGGCGAGGTGATTGGCCTTCCTGGCCCTTTTGGGTAAATCTGAGCCAACGGCATCTGCTTCGTGTGTGTGTGTGTGTGTGTATGTGTGTGTGTGTGCACGAGCACGCGTGTATAAAGATAAAGTCACAGGACACGCACAAAGTGCTTACCGCAGTTCTCTGCACAGTAAGCGCCAGGAAAGGCTGGCCACTGTTACCAGCATTGTTCCCAATGAACGATGCCTTACGACCACCAGGAGAGTTTGGAAATCAGATTGCCGTGGACTCACACCCACCCCTGACACGGAGGACTGTGTGTGATGAAAAGGGGGCAGGTCTCACCACCCACCACCAGACATTGAGTTCCAAATCCACGCCACGGATTTGACCCCTCTTGAAAGAGACCAAGAGCATTTCCCACCCCCAACCACAGGGTCTAGACAAATCTTTGCCCACTGCTTAGAAACGTGTGACCCAGCTCCGGGGCATGGGGCGGAGCTCAAATAAACCCACTCGGCCCTGCAGCAGCGGTCAGAAAACAGTCGGAAGTTCCTGTCCTGCAGACAGTGGGTCACTCATGTCACTTCCATGTACAAAAAAACTATGAGCATGGGGTGGAGGCATCAACTCAACAGCCAGAACGGAAAACTAACGCAAGTTCGCTCCTGGAGGTGGTCGGTGAGGGGTCTCCACATCCGGAACTCGGACCACCCCCATCCCCGTGGGTCTGCTCTGAGCTCACCGCTGTCTGCAACATCTGAGCCCATGGGGAGGAGCTCAAAGGGGGGGACCCCAAACCATGTGCATTTTAAAAATCACTTAAGGTTTGGAAGACAGCCAGTGATTTCTTAGTGCATTTATGTGTTGAACTTGAACTGCATCCCCGCCCCCCAAAAAAAGATAATGTTGAAGTCCTAACCCCCTGGTACCTCAGAATGTGGCCTTATTTGGAAATAGGGTCCTGACACAAGTCATCGAGTTACAAAGAGGTCATTAGGGGGGCCCTAGCCCAATATAACCACGTCCTTCGTCTTTATGAAAAGGGGACGTTTGGACCCACAGACAGATACACACACGGGGAGAAGTGTCTGGGGAGGTGACGGCAGACAGTGGGCGATGCATTCGCAAGCCCCAGGATGCCGGAGACTGCCAGCCAAGGTCCCCAGGCTCGGAGAGGGAAGCGTGGGGCAGACCGGCCCTCGGACGAGGAGCCGACACGGACCTGGGACTCGCGGCCTCGAGAACCCCGAGGCCGTCAACTGCTGCCGGCCCTGGCTTCCGGCCCCAGCACCGGCGAACTTCTCTGAAAACCAGGGCTGGCGTTCCTGAAGAATGGATGAACACTCTGAAGGCGCAGCCCGGTCGGAGTTTAAATTCGCAGGAGGCGCCCTGCCCACCTGCGATCCTGCCCGACTCCTGCGCTCTCGCTTTCAAAATCCCTCCGCGGGGCGGACGGGGCTGCGCACGCGCCCGCAGCAGCGAGACCGCAGGTTTCCGAGTGGGAGGGGCGGCGCGGAGAGCCGACCCATCCCCCGCTCGCCGACGACCCCGACGACCCCCGGAAGGGGCGCCGACCGAGCGGGGCCCACGTGTCCCGTCCCCGCCCCGCCCCGCCCCGCGGCCGCGAGCGCGCCTCTCACATGTACACTTTCAGGACGAGGTCGTCCTTCGTCTCCCCGGTCAGCAGGTCGGCGATGCTGAGGACCGCGCAGCCGAAGGGCCGCCGGTACTGCACGCTGCAGGCGCTCTTCTTCTCCCCGGCCCCCATCCGACCTGCCCGGGGACAAAGCGAACGCGGTCAGAAAGCCATTCAACTAGAGCCTCTGCCCCAGGCGCACACTGCAGCTGCCAGGGAGACCCTGGGGAACTGGCTGGCGAGGGCGAGGGCGAGGGCGAGGGCGCGCGCTCCGGGCGGCAGAAGGTGCCGCGGCAGGTCGGGGCTCTCCTCGGCACGCAGCCGAGCCTCGGGGCCTCCGCTGCCGTCCAGGAAACGTGGAGGCTGGAGCGGGACCCCCGTTCGGGAGCCTCCCGAAGACTCACGAGGGCGCCCCAGGGGGCTCGGGGCAGTGCTTCTGTTTTAAAAAGCATCTGTATTTAAAGAGCCAGTCCAAAGGTCTCCCCTTGGGAAGGAAGCAGCTGGAGAGTCCCCGGAGGAGCAGCAGCAGGGAGGCCGCGTGCTGCAATGAGGGGGCCTCTCCTGACGGGGGCGCTGCGGGCGACCCCCGACCCGGCCGGTTCGCACTGCACGGGTGGGAAGGGCCGCAGACCTCCCAGGGCGTCAGGGGGATGGTGTCCCCGTACATCACTGTGCTTCACCCCCAGTGGGTTGTTTTGGAGACGCAAAGCAGAAAGCCCACTGGAGCTGAACTACAGCAAGTTAACATGAGAACAAAAAACTTTTTTTTTTAACAATCCGCCCATTGGTTTGCAGATTCTTGGCATCGATCGAAGTGCCAGTTGTTTCCCTCGGCGTGAAACCCCACCGCTGCCCCGCCCTGCCCCCCAGTGCACCCGGAAGGCTCTGGCTCCTCCCAGACCCACGTGGAGGGGGAACCGGATGCCCTCGCCCAATCTGGCTTGGATTGGAGGGCGGTACAGGATAACTGCCCCCCCAGCTGTCACCTTCACGGAAATGCCCACAAACAGCAGCCCCCTAACCTCTCGCTCTGTATCAGTGGGAATCCAAAGTAAACACAGTCCCAATAAGTCAGCTGCTTCTCAGTTGTACAAAATGTACCATTTAAATACCATGTGTTCATGGCCCGATGCTGTCATATGGGACAGAACTTCCACCCACGGTTTCATATAAACTTCATCTGCAAATCCAATACTTTAGAAAGTCATCTTGGGATTTTCCTCTTCCACAAATCCTACTGTTTACTTACAGAAGCGATTTTAATAAATTTAAAACTTGGGTCACCCAGACAGAAAAGAAGTCTAGTTTATGTCTTTATGAAATATGACTACAGACCATCTCGGGATGAAATGTGCACACCAATCTTTATCAGTATCATAATTTCAAAAGTATTCTTTTCTTACTTAATCATTTCCTTGCAAATGCAAGATGACAACGTGATTAGGAACTTTCTGGGTGGAGTATTTCAAAGTTAGATAACATCATCCAAGAAGTTTATTAGGAAAAAAAAAAAACAACCCAAACTCCCAGAGTTCCCAGGGCTCTTCCGGCTCTAACCCCAGGTGTCTCTAGGTCACGCAGGGGCCTGTCAGTCTCACCTCCCACCCCCTTCGGCTAGACCTGCGGACAAAGAAAACGTGTGGGGCTCAAGGGGCCCCGCAAAGTGAGGCCGACCGGAAGTGTTCCCTTGGGGCACTCCGAGAAGGTGCCCCAGGGAGGTGTCCCTCACTGTCCCCCACTGTCTCTGACCCTGGGCCTCCTCTGCCCTCTCGGGTCTGCACACGCTTGACTTTAACTCTCCTTTCCTGGTTCTGTGGGCGCCACAGCTCTGGGTACCAAACCTGGGGTCCCACTCCCGTCCTGAAACGACCACCCCAGCGTTCCCAGCTCTGGGGTGAACAACATTCCTAGTTCTGGACACGTTTCTAGGGACACCACTGTAGCAGAAAGGAAGGCAGGAGCAGGGGAGGTGTGATCATTTAGCAACCAGCCAAAAGCCACAAAGGGATGCAGGAAGCTGGAAAGCAGACCAGGAAGGAGAATCAGAAACAATGTATTCCTCTTCTTTCCCTCCCTCTTTCCAACGGGAAGTCCGGGTTTAAATTCCAAGGCAGGTGCTACTGTTCTGGTCTCGGTAGCCAGTGAGGGTCAACATGCCCTTTTCCTGCTAAAGCAGGTGCAAGGAATGTTCTAGAAAAAGTGAGCCTTGGCTCCCGAGAGACAAGATTCTGCCACATCTTAACTTCACTGCAGCAACTCACTCCAGAGTGTGCAGTCACCTCAGGGAAGCGTTCACCTCGCCACAGCTGGGGTGGGGGGGAGCAATTTCTGATTCCACACCCATTCTGACAACCTAATGATCACGAAATCTCAGTGAAAAACGCCAGCACTGATCAAGCGCCATGGATCTGAAAAGCACCCCGTGCCGGGCAATGCCACTGAAGTGGTTCCCTTGGCAACAGCCCTGTGAGTGACACACAGGGCTGCCTGGGCCACGGGCCGGCAGGCCGCCTCATCTCCCCGTGGTTTTTCTCCACAAAAACCTGCAGACACTTTTTAAAAGCCCTGAAAGCAAAAGCGGCTTCCTTTTCTCTCAGCGCTGGAGAAAGCTATGTTTGAGTTTTAGCAGTGTTCACATGAAGGCGTCCACAGCCACACTCTACACGTGAGCAACCGGCACTGTAAACCCGAACTGGGGAAACCACGGGAGGAGTCGCGTGCGCTGCCCCCCCCCAACTGGGGCGCGGACGGCAGCTTTGTGTCCAACACACAGCAGCTGGCTCCCCCCACCGCGCCCCCAGTGTGGTGAGAGGCTCCTTCCCAATTGTGTCCCCGCACCCTCAGTGGTACGGAGAAAATACACACAAAATCGAAAACAGTTTACTTTTAAAAATTCCTCCTGTCCCTCAGATATGAAAAGGGCCTACAATGAAAACGGGTTTTCAGAGGGAGAAAATCTAGAGGACACCCGTGTCGGAACAGCTACGTGGTGCACAGTCTCCATGCACCCTGCGGAGCGTAGAGCACGAGACGATGAGAATTAAACATCAGGGTGCGATGTCCAGCGCGGTGCTCCTCTCCTGGGGGTGTTCCCCAGCCGGCAGTGCGGCCCCGAGGACAGCACGTGGGAGCCAGGCTCAGCAGCGGCTGCCGAGCCCTCCCGGCAAACCTGTGTCGGCTCCACCGTCCCTCGCTTTACCCGGTTCCTCTGCCGTAAAATGCCTGCGGTCAGGGGCACCTGATGCGTGAAAATGAATGAACACCCAACGCGCTTTCTGCAAGGTGTGCAGGTCTCACTCCACAGGTGCTCGCACAGGGGACCCGAGCGTGGACAGAGCGGGGGCCACGGTGCCTGTGCTCGGTGACACGCCAGCTCGTGTCGTGCTCACAGCCCTGCAGGAAACCCGGCCCCGGAAAGTGTGGTGTGTGCTGTGAACAGGAATGAGAGCTCACAAAGGCCAGCACTGCATTTTTGGATCGAATGTGGTTAGGGAGCCCAGCAGAGCGAGAGGAGACACAGCAGGCCACGGGAGGGAGGACTCCGGCGGGGAGGGAAAAAGGGGTCCCCGTGTGCTGGGCGAGTGGGGGCTGCCCGTGAGCCCCGGGGGGAGGGAGGCAGGGAACAATGTCCAGACTCTGTGATCCTTGGGTCCCACTCCAGCTTTGACCTCTTTCTGATTCGGACAGCACACAGATCACACGACAGAGACCCCCCCCCCCAAGGGGTCCCGGCACCAGTGGCCGGGGTGCCACCTACCGATTCGGATGATGTGCACCGTGATGTAGATGTCCCTCCGCAGCTCACTGCTCCCCAAATCCTGCCACAGAGAGAGTCGGTTACTGTCGAACTCATCACTTGCGTGGACACTTAAAGGACACAGCACACTATTTTTGCAAATCATAGACGAAACAGAGCTGCCCTATGACCCAGCAATTCCACATCTGGGTATTTACCCAAAGAAAACAAAGACCCTGATTTACAGAGACATGCAGGCCCCTCTGTGCACTGCAGAATTACTAGTAAGAGCCGAGACGGGGGGGCCGCCTGGACGCGCACAGGCAGAGGGGTGCCTGGGGGAGGTGCGGGCACGCACACGATAGAGCACTACTGAGCCAGAGGAAAGAGCGGCATGTTGACGCCGCCGGCCTCGGCAACACGGACGGACCTAGAGTGCGTCCTGCTGAGGAAACTGAGTCAGGGGACATGGTCACAGTGCGATCTCACTTATGTGTGGAATTAAAGGAAGAAAACATGCTGATAAACCAAAGGATACAGAAACAGGGCCGCAGAGACAGAGAAGTGGCTGACGGCTGCCCGAGGGGCGGAGGTCGGGGGGGCGGGATGACAAACCACACACACAGTGCCCACCCCCGAAGACCACCACTGCCCGTGTGCAGAGAACGCCTGGAACACCTTTCAGAGGCCATCATCAAGAAAAGGAGCCCTGGCTGGCGCAGCTCAGTGGATTGAGCGCGGGCTGCGAACCAAAGTATCGCAGGTTCGATTCCCAGTCAGGGCACATGCCTGGGTTGCAGGCCATGGCCCCAGCAACCGCACATGGATGTTTCTCTCTCTTTCTCCCTCCCTTCCCTCTCTAAAAATAAATAAATAAAATCTTAAAAAAAAAAAAAAGGAGACTTGGGTTTCACGACATGACTGCCGACTTTTTGAAGATTTACTGAACTTTCTATAAGGTTGTCATAGTACCTTTCCAAATCAAATGTAGGTGTTTGTTGCAAAAAAAAAAATTCAACACAGACATTTTCAATGGCATTTTTGTAGCAGAAGCGTCTGGTTCAAATCCCGTCCTGGGATTCCCGTATCGGCCATCACTGTGGTTTACTGGCGTCAAGTAACAGCGAGAGGGAAACCCTGTTCTCACGTTGCTCATCCTTCAGACGTGTTAGGTAGCTGCTGCATGCCAAACGCCACACTGAGCTCGTCACCTCCAGCGCACGCACACGGCTGTGACTGTGGGTGCCGGTGTCAGAACCCCGGGCGCTCCTGGAACTGGCGTGTCACTATCAGAGTTTACACAAATGCCCTGGTTGGCTCTCAGCCATTCCCGTCTCCTAAATGACACGGAGCGCGCTGGGCAGACCCCGCCTCCTGCAGGGGGTGCCCGCGCCCACTTACCACGAAGAGAGAGCAGTGGCGCTCCGGTTTGTCCGGCGCCTTGGGGAGCCCGTTCCTGTTCAGCCTCAGGAAGAATCTCTCGCTGCAAGGGAAGAGGGAGAATTTCACATCCTGAAAATCGCTTCACGGTTCAGGACCTGGCGCTTTTCTAGGAGCTCTTCGCCCCAAGTTTAGCTCCAAATTTATCCAGGTCACTCATTTCACATCAAAAGCACTTCTGGAAAACAGAGGCGCCCCTGAGACGGTCTTTGCTTCACTGCTGATAAAAACGGCGAAGCAGGAGCTTGCAGAGGCAGAAAATGTAAAAACATAGGCAAACAAAAGTGAACTTTTAATATTATACAGTTGTACACTGGAGACCTACATGATCTTGTTAACCAATGCCACCTGAATACATGTAATAAAGTTTAAGTTAACTTTTAAAAGAACAGGTTTCCGTACTGGTGATGTCATCATCATTTTAAAAATAGAAGCAAAGGCACCAAAAGAGAAAACACAGCCTGACTGACGTGTTTCGTCTCTTTCCATCTAGGACTTTTTTCCGCATCTGGGTCACGTTATCCCGTTATCATCCCACCAGAGCGGCGCTCTGAGCACTCTCCGCCCACTGGAAGGCGTGGCGTTTTACGCCATCACAGCTCTACAATCCAAAACTCGGACAGGCGGCCCGAGAAATGAAACTTAAATTTTCTCTGTTCCACCCAAGAACAGGAAACCGCAAACCCCCCTCAGAACTCGCGTTTCAAAACACGGCACCGCCCGGATGCAGTGCACACACAAAACGCTCAGACATTCGCTCGAGCCCAGAGATCCTCGAGGGCGCCGTTCTGCTCCGACGTTGTGTGCTCGACTATGTATTTATGTTCCGAAAAGAAAATACCAACTCAAGGAAAGTTAATCCACCAGCTACCCGCTACCAGGAACTTCTCAATTCCAGCGCCCTGGGGTTCCCGATCAAACCAAGTGTCCCGCTGCCTCAGGCAAAAACACGCAGCCCACACTCCCCCAAACACAGTGTTAGCACGTGCTCGGGCTCGGTCAGAATCGTGTCAGCCCGGGTGACAAGCAGGGACAGGGACAGGGGGCGCCGGCGAAAGGTCCAGGACGACCCAGTGTCCGTCTGTGCTTACTCGCCCCTCGATCTTCGCTTTAAATAATGTCCCTCCCACCATTCGGAGGAAGGAGCACCACGCTCAGATCTCCATGGAAACATATGGGTTTGAACTTAAAGCTGCTTCGGAAGACTTCCCTTGTCCCTTTCCATCTAAATGGAGACAGATGTACCGCCGACTCCCTGGCTTACCGCATCCTGCCCTTACACCACGCCTGCTTTCCGGCCCCCTCCAAGGGGAACGGCAGCCAGTACATTTCTAGGGGCTCATTTCCACACCCACTGACTACGTTTTTCTCCGCAGAGCAGGGGCTGACGACGAGGCTTAAATGAAGGGAGCACGAATCGCTGCAAGCACTCTCAAATGCATCTGGGGTTCCCCTGCGGTGCGAGTCCACAGCGGAGGGGAGAAGACACACGCGCAGCGGGAGATGTGGGGCTAAATCAGTGCCACCCGGCTGTCACTCGCTGTGACCCCAGGAACGGGGCCGGCGCGCTGTTCGCAGGGAAAGAAGACTCCCCGTCATTTCAAAGTCAAGCTGTGCTAAAAGGAAGTGTGCCCACATTCACCTTGGGATACATGACTCGTGCTCTAAAAATCATATTATTTGGTAAAACGATTTTGGGGGGAAGTCACCCTTGGGTGGGCACTCTGCTACCGACTTTACCTGGACTGAGCCATGTGATCCTCACTATGCCCTTGGGCAGCTGGCAACTTGCACCCATTTTATAGATGAGAAAACTGAGAGACGGTGAACAGTCTTGCCCTAGATCACAGAGCTGGGACATGGCTAAGTAGGGAATTCCATCCCATATATTAATTCAAAACCCTCCACTTCATTTGCATGCCCTAAGGTGAATTCTTTCCCTGTTCTACAGAAATACTGAGCAACTATTTCCAGAACACTGAGATAAGGGAGCAGTCGCTCACCAGCCCAGGACACCACTGCCCCAGGCAACCGCAGAGTGCAGGGCACCGCGCCCCCGTCCAGGGAGAATGAAAGGGATGGGAATTTTGATTTAGCAAGTTCCACAGCAGTCCGTGGTTTAACATTACTCCCGGATAGTTTCTTCAATGCAAATGACTCGGGAAGTAAATTGTTTTACTACACAAATGAAGAACCCCCCAAATATTTAGTGACTTGGCTTCAGCTGGTCAGAGCTCCTGAGGGTGACACTGGTCGCCTACCAGTATACAATGTTTGTTGACTCTATTTTAGCTCCAAACACGAGTGACCCTTGGCCCCTCTCCTGTATCTTGGACAGCAGGCTCTACGCTTTTTGAGACGTTCCTCCTTCATGCCCACGGAAACAATGGAGCCCAAATTTGTGTCATCCTCTGACAGGGCAGTCTGTCCTGCCCGACGACAGCGAGGCTAACACACAGCGGTCCAGGAGCCGGTCCAGGTACGAACGCCCCAATGCCGACGGTGAGACAAAACGCCACTCCGTACCTGCGGCTCTCATCCATATTCTGGGAGAACAATGTTTCCTTCCGTGTTCTGCTTCGGAGAGAAATCCCTGCGGCTCTGTCCCTGTTTGCATCCCGCCAGTCTAGACAGAATCCTGATTAGGCGAGTATTACCCTGTATCACGCCCCGCTTCAGAGAGAGTATCAGCACGCACAGAGCCAACGACACAGCCCCTCGCCGAAGCATGGCCTGAGGGGGCATTAAAAGAGGCTGCAGACAGGTGCTGTGGGGAAGGAAGGCATGTGTAATAGTTTTAAAACCAGACTTCCTTTAAAGGGAGAAAGAAAACTTTTGTGACCAATTTTTAAAAATTCTTTGAATTTATTTGGTGGCAAGTTGTTACACAAATTCAATGTCTCTTCTTAATTTGGCGAATAAGTGGTAGCAACCACTTAACAAATGGTTAAGAGAAAAAATACACACCTACAGCAATGCCTTTCGGAATCTTTGGACAACAAACATCCTTTTCCCCAACCCCCACACACGTTTGGGGAGCACCGGACTGTCTGCCTTCAAGGCTGGGGAGACACTGAATGAGTCAACGATATTTTATTGTTGACACATCTAAAACTCTCTCAACCATCTGTGGCCACACACACAGGCGTGTGTGTGACTCTCAGTTGTAAGTCCAAAGGGTGGCCTCGAAAAACAAAACTAGTTTTTGTGACGTCAAAAAGTGTCCTCGTGTAACAGGTGCACACGCCCATTCTTACATCAGCGGCACTCTCTCGCCCCACCTGGAAAGCTGTGCGTGTGTTTCCTCATTTCCCTGTGCTCCCCGGAGCCCAGGCCCAGGCCTAGGCCTGCCGACCCCCACCCCCGCAGCTGCCGGCTGTGACCTGGGCCTGCCTGAGCGCTGGACGAGACCGAACGAACGCAATCCTCGGGACAAAACAGAACAAAACGCAAATAATCGGCAAGCTCTAACGCCTTCCCAGCTTCCCCTCTCTGGCCCATAATGTCCTTCACTTTACGTGAGAGAAATGCATGACATTCTCCAAGGAGACACTTCAGGCCGTGGGGTCTCCACCAGACACGGAGGCGCCCCATGAGCTTCGCGGCACCCCAAGATCCCAGACGGTGCCGAGGAACCTGGCTCCCCGCACGTTTTGTATCTTTATTAGAGCAAACACGTAGCAACAGAGAAATCTCCGATGACGCAATGCTTCCCGGTGAGAAGGTGGCCTCCTTCCTCAGTGTCGAAGAATGAGTAAGCAACCAGGACACGTCTAGAAACACTGAGAAATGAGAGTCGGTATCATTCCCAGCAGAGAAAAATCATCTGACTTCCCGACATGATGCCAGCTTCCCCCACTGGAGACTTCCCAGCCGGAGAAATTTAGTGTCCACCTGAATTCTGTGTAATTCCATTATAAATCCTTATGTTATAAATCAGCGATGGCAGATCATTTATTTAGAAACAAAGAAGAATAGCAGATTGCAATTATTGTTTATAACCCGTCTCCCTTTAACAAAGATGGGAGGAAACCCACATAATGACATAAGAATGTAAATAAGCATGGCCAGCATTGTCCCTGGGGAAAAACTGTCGGAGTAAATATACGTCCCACGCCAGGCACTGGGACACGCACTGGGACACGCACTTTCCACGGATCTTCTCGTTAGATTCTCACACGCACCCTCGGCAGGAGGAGCCACGTCACCCCCACCCACTTCACGTGGGAGGAAGCCGCGGCCTGGAGGCTCTAGGTAAGCTGGCCGTGGCACTGTCAGGCCAGGATGTAGCCAGGACATTAGCAGCCAGAGTGGGAGCCCAGAGCCTCGGCTCTTGCCCATAATGCTCTGCTGTCCGGGAAAGAACAGAGAACTCAGAAAACGGACAACGAGCAAGACTGAGCATCCGTGTGAACCAAGGCGTTTTTAGTGTATTTTCAATAAAATAAAATTTTAAGCCCTGGCTGGCGTAGCTCAGTGGATTGAGTGCGGGCTATGAACCAAAGCATCGCAGGTTCGATTCCCAGTCAGAGCACATGCCTGGGTTGCAGGCCATGACCCCCAGCAACTGCACATTGATGTGGCTCTCTCTTTCTCTCTCTATCCCCCTCCCTCCCTTCCCTCTCTAAAAATAAATAAATAAAATCTTTAAAAAATAAAATAAAATAAAATTTAAAACTACTGACACCGAAAGAAACAAGAAAAAACCAAAGCCACGAGCCTGCCGGAGCCCAGGGCTCAGCTCCGGCGCCGTCTCGCTGGCGTCCCGACAACGGCATCCCACGGGGAACGGGGTGTCAGGGGCACAGTTTGGCGGACAAGTTCTAACCAGCGACGAAAACAACGTGGGAGGCAGGGTGGGGACCCGAAGACTCTCGAAATCTCTCCCCCACGTCGCAGCAGGACAGGGCGCTCCCAGCTCCCCCTGCCGCCCCGCCTCAGGGACTGCCGCTCCGCCGTGGGAAAAGCCCTCCCTCGGGTCCTGGAGGCTGGGGACAGGTGTGGGACGGTCCCCCAGCCTGCTGAGGGATCACGTCCAGCGGC